GCCTGCGGCAGGGCCTCCAGCTGCGCTCAGAGCCGGAACCCAGGCCGTGCAGCTGTCTGGGCCTGGCCGGGGCCTGAAGGGCAGCCGCAGAGCCTGGGAGAGCGGCCGTCCCGGTAATGTGTTCCTTGGACCCGTGCCCGGGCCGCCCCGGCCACGGGACTCACCGTCCTGACGTCCGTGGGCCGCTAGTAAAACAATGGGGAGAGGCCGAGGTCCCCGGGGGAGCCGTGTCTGCTCGGGGGGGCCCGTGTGGTGACGGGGCGGCCGGGTGTGACGATGAACAGTCACGTCCGTGTTCTTGTTCACCGTCCTGCCCTTTCTCTGTCCGCGCGGGAAGGAGGGCCGGGCCAGGGCGGGGATGCCAGGAAAAGCGGAAACACGGGGCCCGGAGCGTGAGCGAGCCGAGGTGGGGGCAGCCGGGAAGCCCCGTGGTGCCTCGTAGGCCCTGGCCGCCCCCCAACCCCCTGCCTAGGAGCCCGAGGCACATGGAGACGGTCTCTGCCCCCTGCCCCCTGCCCCCTGCTGGGATCGAGGCAAAATGTCCCAGTCACGGTCCATCCATCCACCCATCATCCATCCTCCATCATCCACCATCCATCCATCCATCCATCCATCCACCGTCCATCCATCCATCCATCCATCCATCCATCCATCATCCCTCCATTCATCATCCATCATCCATCCATCATCCATCCACCATCCACCCATCCATCCATCCATCATCCCTCCATTCATCATCCATCATCCATCCACCATCCACCCATCCATCCATCTACCGTCCATCCATCCATCCATCCATCATCCCTCCATTCATCATCCATCATCCATCCATCATCCATCCACCATCCACCCATCCATCCATCCATCATCCATCCACCATCCACCCATCCATCCATCCATCCATCATCCATCCATCCATCCATCCATCCATCCATCATCCCTCCATTCATCATCCATCATCTATCCATCATCCATCCATCATCCACCCATCATCCATCCATCATCCATCCACCATCCACCCATCCATCCACCATCCATCCATCATCCATTCATCACCCATCCATCCATCATCATCCATCCATCATCCATCCACCATCCACCCATCCATCCATCCATCATCCATCCATCCATCCATCCATCATCCCTCCATTCATTATCCATCACCCATCCATCATCCACCCATCATCCACCCATCATCCATCCATCATCCATCCACCATCCATCCACCATCCACCATCCATCCATCATCCATTCATCACCCATCCATCCATCCATCATCCATTCATCCCCCATCCATCCATCCCCCTTCCATCCATCCCCCATCCATCCATCCCCCATCCAGCCATCACAATTTGACTCTATCTCCCTGAATGTGTGTGTCCCGTGAGCGAACCAAGGAGCCAGCCGTGTGCTGTGCAGGGGGAGCTGCAGGGGGCGGGAGGAGGAGGAGGAGGAGGGTGGGGGGTGGGGGGTCAGGCCTGGTTTGTCTGGACCGCCCCTGACGCTGCCCCACCGGGCCCCGCAGGGACTTCCCCATCCGGGGGATCCAGCTCTACGACGGCCCCATCAACGTGCAGAACTGCACCTTCCGCAAGTTTGCCGCCCTGGAGGGCCGGCACACCAGCGCGCTGGCCTTCCGCCTCAACAACGCCTGGCAGAGCTGCCCGCACAACAACGTCAGCAACATCACCTTCGAGGACGTGCCGGTGAGCGGGGCCTGGGCGGGGACCCCCTGGGGGAGCCTCGCGCTGGGTGCAGGCCTGTGAGTCCCGTGGCTGGGCCCCCGAGATGGCACAGCTACTGTACGTTTACTTAACCTTTTATTTTTTTCATTAAATCATCATCTGTGTACATATTTTAACATGCCCCCCCCCCTCTCCCATACGTACCCTCCCTCCCCAGAGCTTTGTGTCCACTGGTTGTACTTATATGCATGTAGACAAGTCCTTCGGTTGATCTATTATCTCCCCTATTTTTATTATTTTTATTTTTTTTAATATATTTTATTGATTTTTTTTTTCACAGAGAGGAAAGGAGAGGGAGAGAGAGCTAGAAACATCGATGAGAGAGAAACATCGACCAGCTGCCTCCTGCACGCCCCCCACTGGGGATGTGCCCGCCACCAAGGTCCATGCCCTTGACCGGAATCGAACCCGGGACCTTTCAGTCTGCAGACCGACGCTCTATCCACTGAGCCACACTGGTCTCGGCTTACTTAACTTATGAAACACACGGAGTGGCCAGATGATGATGATGATGATCTCTGGACGCATAAACACCCGGCCACTCTGTGTCTATCCTATAGAATAAAAGGCTCATGTGCACATGGTCCCCTCGACCAGGAGTTCGACCAGCAGGCAGGCCGGCCAACCGCCCACGTCTCCTCTCCCTGGCCAGGCTGGCCGGACCCCACCCATGCACGAATGCATGCACCAGAGTGGCCAGATTATTAGGTGTTTAGAGATCATAATAATCTGGCACTTAGTGTACATCCTATAGAGTAAAAGGCTAATATGCACATGGTCCCCTCGACCAGGAGTCCGACCAGTAGGCAGGTGAGCCCACCGCCCATGTCCCCTCCCCCTGGCCAGGCTGGCCGGACCCCACCCATGCATGAATTCATGCACCGGGCCTCTAATATATATCCACACACTAAATGGCCAGATTATTATGTGTCCAGAGATCATAATAACATACCCACTCAGTGTATATTTTTATTGATTTCAAAGAGGAAGGGAAAGAGAGGCAGACACAATCCATGAGGAGAGAGGATCCCAGATCGGCTGCCTCCTGCAGGCTCCCCCCTGGGGATGGAGCCGCAAACTGGGCCTGTGCCCTGACCGGGAATCGAACCCGGACCTCCTGGTTCCCAGGTTGCCGCTGTCCACTGAGCCACGCCGGCCGGGCGGCGCAGTTCATTGACAAACCTGCCGAGTCTGAGGGATCTCTGCTGAGGCTGCTGCCTTCAGTCCCGCCTGAGAGCAGACAGACGCCCCGGAGAGGCTGTGCTGAGTCACACGGGGCGGGCGCCCCGGGGACTGGGCAGGGCCGGCCCCCTGGGGCGGCGTTCTGTCTGGTGGTGGATAATTTCCCAGGCCTCTCCTCCCCGCCTCCCCCCGCCCCTCCGCGCCTGCCTGCCGCTGCCTGCCGGCCCCTGGGGCCTGCCAAGGGGAACGGGGTCAGGCTGGAGTGAGCCAAGTCCTCTGCTCAGGCTGCTCAGCGGCCGGTCATGGCAATCTCCCCGGCCGCCCGCCCTCCTGGTGCACAGCCCCTCCTCCTGCAAACACTCCCGCCGCCTCCGCCTCATGCACACACACGCTCTCACATACACACACACGCACACACACACACACCCTCCTCCTGCAAACACTCCCGCCGCCTCCGCCTCATGCACACACACGCTCTCACATACACACACACACACTCACACACCCCCCCTCCTCCTGCAAACACTCCCGCCGCCCCCGCCTCATGCACACACATGCTCTCACATACACACACACGCACACACACACACACCCTCCTCCTGCAAACATTCCCGCCGCCTCTGCCTCATGCACACACACGCTCTCACATACACACACACGCACACACACACACCCCCTCCTCCTGCAAACACTCCCGCCGCCCCCGCCTCATGCACACACACGCTCTCACATACACACACACGCACACACACACACACCCTCCTCCTGCAAACACTCCCGCCGCCCCACACACACGCTCTCACATACACACACACGCACACACACACACACAAACACACTCCTCCTGCAAACATTCCCGCCGCCTCCGCCTCATGCACACACACGCTCTCACACTGACACGCTCTCACATACACACACACGCACACACACACACACCCTCCTCCTGCAAACATTCCTGCCGCCTCCGCCTCAGTCACACACACGCTCACACACTGACACACGCTCTCACACACACACCACACACACACACACACACACACTCACACACACACACACACACACACCACACACACACACACACACTCACACACACGGACACACGCACACACCACACACACCCTCCTCCTGCAAACATTCCCGCCGCCTCCGCCTCAGTCACACACACGCTCACACACTGACACACGCTCTCACACACACACACACGCACACACACACACTGAGCGGCCAGATGATGATGATCTCTGAACGCATAATAACTAGGCCATTCCGTGTCTGTCCTATAGAATAAAAGGCTCATATGCAAATGGTCCCCTCGACCAGGAGTTCGACCAGCAGGCAGGCCGGCCAACCGCCCACGTCCCCTCCCCCTGGCCAGGCTGGCTGGACCCCACCCATGCACAAATTTGTGCACCGTATATACATATACGTGTTTGAGGCCATTGCACAATATTCATGTGAGAACAGGCCTTCCTCCCCTGGCTTCACTGGCAGCCGCCCGGGAGCCGGCACCTCCTCACTCTGCCCGCGGCACCTCTCCAGGAGCTCCCTCCACCCCCTGCTTCCCCTCAGCAGGCTTCGCTCCGCTCCACACCTGCCTATGCAAACTCACCTCCATCTTTGTTGGTTGAATTTGCATACTCACTCTGATTGGCTGTGGGCGTAGTAGAGTGATGGTTCATTTGCATTTGCATGTTTCTCTTTTGTTAGATAAGAGTTATATATACACTGAGTGGCCAGAGTATTATGTGTTCAGAGATCCTCATCATCTGGCCACTCCGTGTACACACACACACACACACACACACACACATGCATGCACACATGAACGCCCATGTCCCTGCCCAGCTCTGCAGCCTTGCGAGTGGGGACCAGCACCCGCACGCCCCCCAGAGCAGTCAGCCCCCCCCCCCATGAGCAGAGGCCAAGGGCTGGGCTGGGTGTGGGGGCTGCGGTGTGATGAGGTCTGTGAGGTCAGCAGGGGGTCTCCCCCTCTCCCCTCGGTGCCTCTGGTTGGCCCGCTGCGGTGTCAGTGGAAATGGGAGCCTCTGGCCCCGCCCCCTCACCCCTGACCCCGGGCCCCGGGCCCCGCCCGCTCCGCGCAGATCACGTCCCGGGTGTTCTTCGGGGAGCCGGGGCCCTGGTTCAACCAGCTGGACATGGACGGCGACAAGACGTCGGTGTTCCACGACGTGGACGGCTCGGTGTCCGAGTACCCCGGCTCCTACCTCACCAAGGCCGACAACTGGCTGCTGCGGCACCCCGACTGCATCGACGTGCCCGACTGGCGGGGCGCCGTCTGCAGCGGGCGCTACGCACAGGTGGGCACCCGGGGGCGCCGCGGGGCACACGGGGGCACACAGGCACACACGGGGGGGCACACAGGCACACACAGGGGGCACACAGGCACACACACGGGGGCACACAGGCACACACGGGGGGGCACACAGGCACACACAGGGGGGCACACAGGCACACACGGGGGGACACAGGCACACACAGGGGGCACACGGGGGGACACACAGGGGGCACACAGGCACACACAGGGGGGCACACGGGGGGACACACAGGCACACACAGGGGGGCACACAGGCACACACAGGGGGGCACACAGGCACACACAGGGGGACACACAGGCACACACACGGGGGCACACAGGCACACACAGGGGGGCACACAGGCACACACAGGGGGGCACACAGGCACACACAGGGGGCACACACAGGGGGAACACACAGGGGGAACACACGGGGGGCACACAGGGGGACACACAGGGGGCACACACAGGGGGCACATACAGGGGGCACACAGGCACACACAGGCACACAGGGGGGGCACACAGGGGGGAACACACACATGGGGGGGTGGGCACGCGCTAGCACACTGGGGCCGCTTACACCTGGGCAAGCATACAGATGCCACTGCACACTGGGCTCTGGGCCAGGCTGAGGACACAGGGTCCTCGCCTGCCTTCCTTCCTTCCTTCCTTCCTCCTTTTCCTCCTCACCCAGGGCATGTTTGTTTGCTTTTAAACATATTTGTATGGACTTCAGAGGGGAAGGGAGAAGGAGAGAGAGAATCATTAAGGGTGAGAAGGAATCCTGGATCGGCTGCCTCCTGCCCGCCCCCCACTGGGGATGGAGCCCGCTCGAACCCTGGCCTCCTGGGTCCTAGGTGGAAGCTCAGCCACGGGGCCACGGCGGCCGGGCCACACGGCCCCTTTTGAGGGTGCACAAGGCGTGGGGCGGCGTGGGCTGCGTGCAGGGGGACCCCTTGCTTGGCCTCCCTCCTCCGGTCCGCGGAGCGGGGCTGCGGGCAGAGGCTCGGCAGACGCCCCGGAGTGACCGCCCTGCGCTGCGCTTCCTTCCCGGGGCGAGAAGATGTACATCCAGGCCCAGAAGACCAGCAGCAACCTGCGCATGAAGATCGTCAAGAACGACTTCCCCGAGCACCCGCTCCTCCTGGAGGGGGCGCTCACCAGGAGCACCCACTACCAGCAGTACCAGCCGGTGGTCACCCTGCGCAAGGGCTACACCATCCACTGGGACCGCACGGCGCCCGCCGAGCTCACCATCTGGCTCATCAACTTCAACAAGTGGGTGGGGCCCTGGCCCGGGGTGCAGGGAGATGGACAGAGCCCCTGGGGGTGGGGGCTCTGGAAGCCACGCCCCTGCAGGGCCGCAGCCTGGCTATGCCCCCTGCAGGGCCTCAGGCAGCCACGCCCCCTGCAGGGCCTCAGAAGCCACGCCCCCTGCAGGGCCTCAGGCAGCCACGCCCCCTGCAGGGCCTCAGAAGCCACGCCCCCTGCAGGGCCTCAGACAGCCACGCCCCCTGCAGGGCCTCAGAAGCCACGCCCCCTGCAGGGCCTCAAGCAGCCACGCCCCCTGCAGGGCCTCAGAAGCCACGCCCCCTGCAGGGCCTCAGAAGCCACGCCCCCTGCAGGGCCTCAGAAGCCACGCCCCCTGCAGGGCCTCAAGCAGCCACGCCCCCTGCAGGGCCTCAGAAGCCACGCCCCCTACAGGGCCGCAGAAGCCACGCCCCCTGCAGGGCCTCAGCCTGGCTATGCCCCCTGCAGGGCCTCAGAAGCCACGCCCCCTGCAGGGCCTCAGCCTGGCTATGCCCCCTGCAGGGCCTCAGAAGCCACGCCCCCTCCAGGGCCTCAGCCTGGCTATGCCCCCTGCAGGGCCTCAGAAGCCACGCCCCCTGCAGGGCCTCAGTCAGCCATGCCCCATGCAGGCCCTCAGAAGTCACGCCCCCTCCAGGGCCTCAGACAGCCACGCCCCCTGTATGCCCTCAGAAGCCACGCCCCCTGCAGGGTCTCAGGCAGCCACACCCCCTGCGGCATCGAGGCCACGCCCCCTGTAGGGCCTCAACCTGGCCACGCCCCCTGCAGGGCCTCAGGCAGCCACGCCCCCTGTAGGCCCTCAGACAGCCACGCCCCCTGTAGGCCCTCAGACAGCCACGCCCCCTGCAGGGGAGCACCTGGGGCTGCTGTCACCAGCAGTTCAGGCCCAGCTGCGGGGAGAGGCCAGACCTCAGGCCAGAACCCCAGTCCCTTTGTCTGGGAGGTGGGGTCAGTGACACCCCCAGGGTGCAGGAGGGCCAGGGAGGTCACGTGGGACAGGCTCTTTGCCAGGACCCCGTGCCTGGCCAGGACGTCACGTTTCACACGGAGGGAAAGGGGTTCTGTGGGCCGCCCCGGGGCCAACTGGGGGGGTCGGGATGGGGCTTTGGGGGTGTGTTTGCGTCTGAGCATCTTCTCCGCAGCATCCCTGTGAGGCAGGCACTCACCGGAAGCGGGAAAGGGGCCCCAAAGGCATGCCCTGGCCCTGCAGTCAGGCTGGGCAGGGAAGGCGGGACCCAGGGCCTCCCCGTGGACGGACAGACACCGCGTGGGGAGAGGGTCCTTCCAGCCGGACATAGAACCTGGAGACACCCAGGGTAAGGTGACCGGACGTCCCGCTTTGGGCGGAAGAGTTCTGATTTTTAACAATTTGTACGACGTCGCGCAGCAAAAAATCGGGCCTTTTAAAAAAAAAAAAATATATATATATATATTTTATTGATTTTTTACAGAGAGGAAGAGAGAGGGATAGAGTTAGAAACATCGATGAGAGAGAATCATCCACTAGCTGCCTCTTGCACGCCCCCTACTGGGGATGTGCCTGCAACCAAGGTCCATGCCCTTGACTGGCATCGAACCCGGGACCTTTCAGTCCGCAGGCCGACGCTCTATCCACTGAGCTAAACCCAGTTTTGGCAAATCGAGACTTTTTTATTTTATTTTTTAAAATAATATTTTATTGATTTTTTTACAGAGAGGAAGAGAGAGGGATAGAGAGGTCGAAATGTTGATGCAAAAGAGTCATTGATCAGCTGCCTCTTGCACGCCCCTACTGGGGATGCGCCCGCAACCAAGGTCCATGCCCTTGACCGGAATCGAACCTGGGACCCTTGAATCCGCAGACCGACGCTCTATCCACTGAGCCACACCGGTTTTGGCAAATCGGGACTTTTTGTTTTTTAATTAATTATTTATTTATTTATTTTTTAAATATATTTTATTGATTTTTTTACCGAGAGGAAGGGAGAGAGATAGAGAGTTAGAAACATCGATGAGAGAGAATCATCGATCAGCTGCCTCTTGCACACCCCCTACCAGGGATGTGCCCACAACCAAGGTCCATGCCCTTGACCGGAATCGAACCCGGGACCCTTGGATCCGCAGACCGACGCTCTATCCACTGAGCCACACCGGTTTCGGCAAACCGGGACTTTTTTAAAAACGCCGCGGGACGCGGGACACGAATTGTTCAAGATCGGGACTGTCCCGCCAACAGCGGGACGTCTGGTCACCTTCACCCGAGGGGCCCTGTGTGTGTGGTCCTCCCCTCTCCTGGGACTCAGTCCTGACAGCAGCAACGCTCCCCCAAACCCCCAGCCCCACCCCCAGAAAGGGGGGGCCCCAGAGGTGCCCCAGGCCGGCCCTACCTCTGCCTCCCCCGTTGCCAGGGGCGACTGGATCCGCGTGGGGCTCTGCTACCCGCGGGGCACCACCTTCTCCATCCTCTCGGACGTGCACAACCGCCTGCGGAAGCAGACCACCAAGACGGGCACCTTCGCCCGCACCCTGCAGATGGAGAAGCTGGAGCAGAGCGTGCCCGGCCGCAGCCACTACTTCTGGGACGAGGCCTCGGGGTGAGGAGCCTGCGGGGCGGGGCGGGGCGGGGCCTGGGACTGCAGGTGGGGGTGGGGGGGCCGGACCCTGGGTTCCAAATAAGGCCACCGGAGGCTGATGATTGATTTTAAAAAAAGCAGCCGAGACCGGTGTGGCTCAATGGATAGAGCATCGGCTTGGGGACTGAAGGGTCCCGGGTTCAATTCCGGTCAAGGGCATGGACCTTGGTTGCGGGCATATCCCCAGTAGGGGGTGTGCAAGAGGCAGCTGATCGATGACTCTCTCTCATCGATGTTTCTGGCTCTCTATCTCTCTCCCTTCCTCTCTGTACAAAATAAATAAAAATATATATATATAAAAAGCAAACAAACAAACAAACAAAAAAACAAGCAGGCAAGGATTTATTGAAAAACCGGCCAGGACGGCCGCCAGAGCACCACACGCAGGGGGAGTCCACACGACTGCACTGCTCCAGGGTAGGCAGTCCTTTTAAAGGCCTACACCACAGGAATTTCCCTTTGTTCTAAATTCTAAATTCCCCGTCACATCCTGCTGGACGTTGGAAGGTGGCCCTCTCTCGCGATAGCAGGCAGTATGGAAGCAGAGCTCAGCGGTTAGTCTCTAAAGGTTTTCTACAGCTTCTACCCCTGAAGCTACCGAGTCTGTGGGAACCCATCTCCTGTGGTCCTGGCCCACAGGCACCGGAAAACTGCCTCAGCCTCCAGGTCTCCACCTGGGGAAGCTGAGGTCAATATCCTGTGTTTAATCAGGCGCAGGCGGAGCCAGACTAGAAGGGTGAAGATTCAAACAGCAGTCTTCACCAAAGTATGGTTGCTACCACCTTTCAGGGACCTCCCGGGGCCTGGCCAGCGGGTGCGGTCAGTGGGGGGGGGGGTGGTCAGGGGGTCCTCTCCTAGGGCCCCTCCGTTCTGCAGCTCCTGGGTCCGTCCACGCGTCTGTGGAGGGCGAGACGGCTGTGTCCGAAGCAGGTTCCAGTTCATGGAGGGGAGAGAGGAGGGGAGGCGAGGGGGCTCCTGGTCCCGCCCCCTATGCAGACAGCCCAGCACCCCGAGGACAACGCCAGTGCCTCGCCACTGGAGGGCGCTGTGCACGGCTGGGCCTGGGAGCGAGGGAGGCACAGTGCTTTCTGGAAGCCTTTTTCTGTTGCATTTATTCAGTTATTTTGTCTCACACACACACACACACACACACACACACACACACACTAGAGGCCCGTTGCAGGAAGATTCCTGGAGTAGGGCCTCCTGCTGCTGTCTCCTCCGTCCGCCTGCTTCCCTCCCTTCTCCACAGCTTCGCTCCCTCTGCAGCGCTTCACCTGTTTCTACGCCGTCTTCACTCTTTGCTCTGGCCTGGGGACATGCAAATTGACTGCCCTCTTGGACGGGTTAGTTTGCATACTTGCCCTGATTGGCTGCTGGGCCTGGCTTGTGGGTGTGGCAAAGGCACAGTCAATTTGCATGTTTCTTTTGTTGTTTTTCTTAAATATATTTTATTGATTTTTGTACAGAGAGGAAGGGAGAGAGAGAGAGAGTTAGAAACATCAATGAGAGAGAAACATCAATCAGCTGCCTCTTACACCCCCCCCCACTGGAGATATGCCCGCAACCAAGGTACATGCCCTTGACCGGAATCGAACCCGAGACCCTTCAGTCCCCAAGCCGACGCTCTATCCACTGAGCCACACCGGTCCCAGCTGCATGTTTCTTTTTTTATTAGGATGCTAGAGGCCCGGTGCATAACATTCATGTTCAGGGTGGGAGAGGGGGGGTGTCCCTCAGCCCACCCTGCACCCTCTCCCATCTGGGACATCCCTCTCACCATCCAGGACTGCTGGCTCCCAACTGCTCCCTTCCTGATGGCCCCTAACTGCTTCTGCCTGCCAGCCTGATCACCCCCTAACTGCTGCCCTGCCAGCCTGATTGCTCCTAACTGCCCTCCCCTGCAGGCCTGAGTCCCCTCAACTGCCCAACCCCAGCTGATGGATGTTTCTCTCTCATCAATGTTTCTAACTCTCTATCCCTCTCCCTTCCTCTCTGTAAAAAAATCAATAAAATAGCTGAAACCGGTTTGGCTCAGTGGATGGAGCGTCGGACTGTGGACTGGAAGGTCCCGGGTTCGATTCCGGTCAGGGGCATGTACCTTGGTTGATGGCACATCCCCAGTGGGGGGTGTGCAGGAGGCAGCAGGTTGACGTTTCTCTCTCATCGACGTTTCTAACTCTCTCTCTCCCTCTCAGTTCCTCTCTGTGTAAAATCAATAAAAATATTTTTTTAAAAATCAATAAAATATATTTAAATAATTTTTTTTTTTTAAAGTAAACAGGCTGAAAGGGAGGGGGCTCCAGATTCCACAGCCAAGGTCGCCCGCCCTTGCGTGGAGTCAGCTGTGTCCCCGCAGGAGTACGTGTCCTGGCCGGGGGCCCGGCCCCAGGTGGATCTGATCCCTTCCTTGTTTTCCCTCCCACCACCCCCCGCGCAGCCTGCTGTTCCTGAAGCTCACTGCGCAGAACGAGCGGGAGCGGTTCGCCTTCTGCTCCGTCAAAGGCTGCGAGCGGATCAAGGTCAAGGCCCTGCTGCCCAGGAACGCGGGCGTGAGCGACTGCTCGGCCACCGCCTACCCCCGCTTCGCGGAGCGGGCGGCCGTGGACGTGCCCATGCCCCGGAAGCTGGCGGGGGCGCAGCTGGTGAGCGCGCGGCCGGCGGGCGGCAGGCCTGCCCTCGGCCTCCGCCTTGGCCTTGGCCTTGGCCTTGGCCTTGGCCGGGCGCCTGAGGGCAGGGGAGGGGAGGGGAGGCCAGGGCCGCGGCCACCCCCTGGCCCACACTGACTCCTGGGAGCTAACCCCTACCCCCCGCCCCCGCCCCTCGGCCTTGGCCTTGGCCTGGCCGGGCTCCCGGGGGCAGGGGAGGGGAGGGGAGGCCAGGGCCATGGCCACCCCCTGGCCCACACTGACTCCTGGGAGCTAACCCCTACCCCCCGCCCCCACCCCTCGGCCTCGGCCTTGGCCTGGACGGGCTCCCGGGGGGAGGGGAGGGGAGGGGGACAGGGGAGGCCAAGACCATGACCACTCCGTGGCCCACACCACACGGACTCCTGGGAGCCAATCCCCTCCCCCCCCCCCCGGGGCTGTTTGTCTGCCAGAGGACAAAGGACCACTTCTTGGAGGTGAAGCTGGAAAGTTCCAAGCAGCGTTACTTCCACCTCCACAGCGACCTCGCGTACATCGAGGTGGGTGACCCCTCGGGGGGCGGGCGGGGGGGGCTTCTGTGGGCTGCTGGCCTCACCCGCTGGCACGGGGGTCCCGCCCTCCCCGCTCAGCCCCGGAGGCCGCGGGGCCAAAGGGACAGTGTTGGGCCCCGGGCAGGTGTGGCGCGGTGGTTAGCGCCTTGGCCTGCAGACCGAGGAGGCGGCCCGGGTTCCATTCCAGTCAGGGGCCCTGGTTGGGGCGTGTGCAGGAGGCAGCCCGCTGCTGTCTCTCTCTCACGTCCGTGTTTCTGTCTCTCCCTTTCCCTGCCACACTCTCTAAAAGTCAATGGGAAAATGTCCTCAGGAAGGACGGAAAAGAATAAATAAAACAAAATAAAAAATAAAGTGGGAGGGTGGTCCTTTGGGAGGCAGAGGAGGAGGGGGGAGGAGGAGGAGGGGGGAAGGGAAGGGGGAGGAGGAGGGGGAGGAGGAGGAGAAGGAGGAGGAGAAGTGGGGGAGGAGGCTGAGGAGGAGGAAGAGATGGAGGAGGAGGAAGGAGGAGGAGGGGGAGGGGGAGGGAAAGGAGGGGGAGGGGGAGGAGGAGGGGGAGGACGGGAGAAGGAGGAGAAGGGGGGAGGAGGCTGAGGAGGAGGAAGAGATGGTGGAGGAGGAGGAGGGTGAGGAGGAGGAGGAAGAGGGAGGAGGAAGAGGAGGAGGAGGAGGGTGAGGAGGACGAGGAGGGGGAAGAGGAGGAGGAGGGGGAGGAGGAGGGGGAGGAGGGGGGAGGAGGAGGAGGAGGAAGGGGAGGAGGAGGGGGAGGAGGAGGAAGAGGGAGGAGGAAGAGGAGATGGAGGAGGAGGAGGAGGAGGAGGAAGAGGAGGAGGAGGGGTGGAGGAGCAGGGGGAGGAGGGGGATGGGGAGGAGGAGGGGAAGGAAGAGAAGGGGGAGGGGGAGGGGGAGGAGGAGGGGAAGGAAGAGGAGGGGGAGGGGGAGGGGGAGGAGGAGGAGGAGGGGATGGAGGAGAGGAGGATGCCAGCGGGCCATCTGCTCTGAGCAGCTCCCGGGCCCCTGTGTGCGGTCCCCGTGGGGCCCGGGCGGGGAGGAGGAGGAGGAGGAGGAGATGGAGGAGGAGGAGGAGGAGGAGGGGAAGGAGAGGAGGATGCCAGCAGGCCGTCTGCTCTGAGCAGCTCCGGGGCCCCTGTGTGCGGTCCCCGTGGGGCCGGGCGGGAGGCCTCCCTCACCCCCCCCCCCCCCCCCCCGGTCCCCGCAGGTGGACGGCAGGCGGCTCCCGGGCCTGGAGGAGGGCGTCCAGGTGGTGGCGGTCGACGGCAGCCAGGGCCGCGTGCTGAGCCACGCCAGCTTCCGGAGCGCCGTGCTGCAGGGCATCCCCTGGCAGCTCTTCAACCACGTGGCGGCCATCCCGGACAGGTGAGGGCCGGCCCCGACCCTCGCACCCGGGACCGCGGGCCCGGCCGCCCGCTGCCCGGGGAGCAGCGGGCGGCCTGCCCTGGCCCTCGGCCCGCGTCCCCGGGTGATCTCATCACTCCCACTCCGCTAATGCGATCCACATGCCCCTGGCTTCGGGGCCTCACCAGCTGGGCCTTCGCCCCAAAGGCGGCTCGGAGGCGCCCCCTGCAGGCCTCCTGTGGAATGGAACGCTCAGCATTTTTAAAATATATTTTTTATTGATTTTTTTTTTTAGAGAGAGGAAGGGAGAGGGATAGAGAGTTAGAAACATCGATGAGACAGAAACATCCATCAGCCGCCTCCTGCACACCCCCCACTGGGGATGTGCCCGCAACCAAGATATTATACATGCCCTTGACCGGAATCGAACCCAGGACCCCTTCAGTCTTCAGGCTGATGCACTATCCACTGAGCCACACCGGCTTCGGCATAATGCTCAGCATTTTAAAAAATATATATATTTGTATTTATTTCAGAAAGGAAAGGAGAGGGGGAGGGAGAGGGAGAGGGAGAGGGAGAGGAAGAGAGAGAAACATCCATGAGGAGAGAGGATCATGGATCGACTGCCTCCTGCACGCCCCCCACTGGGGATGGAGCCCAGAACCCAGGTCTGTGCCCTGACCGGGAATCGAACCCTGACCTCCTGGGTCATGGGTCAACGCTCAACCGCTGAGCCATGCCGGCCGGAACTGACTTTTTTATAAAATATATATTTTATTGATTTTTTACAGAGAGGAAGGGAGAGGGAGAGTTAGAAACATGGACAAGAGAGAAACTTCCATAGCTGCCTCCTGCACACCCCCCACTGGGGATGTGCCCTCAACCAAGGTCCATGCCCTTGACTGGAATCGAACCCGGGACCCTTCAGTCCGCAGGCCGACGCTCTATCCCACATGTGTCAAACACAAGGCCCGCGGGCCAAATCCGTCCCGCCAGGCCTTGCAATGTGGCCCGCACCGCGCTGTCATCACTGCACTCCGCTGCGTTTCCATCACAATGACAGTTTATGACTGTTCAGTAAACCATTCGGCCCGCGATTTAGGCTGGATTTTAGATTTTGGCCCCTTCTCTGATTGAGTTCGACACCCCTACTCTATCCACTGAGCAACACTACCCGGGCCTGGCTTTTTTTCAATCCCCCAAACCAGCCGGTTTTCCTGGGTGACATCATCACGCCATCCAGAGCTAGGCCAAGTCTGCATGACGTCGACTCTCTTTCCATGGCCACTGCTCGGGGCAGCCCCGTGTGTGTGTGTGTACCCTCCCTCCCGGGGCCACTACTGCCCCAGGCTCAGCTGCTCACACCTGGAGCATCAAGGGTGGGCCAAAGCCGGTGTGGCTCAGTGGATAGAGCGTCGGCCTGCGGACTGAAGGGTCCCGGGTTCGATTCCCGGTCAAGGGCATGGACCTTGGTGGCGGGCACATCCCCAGTGTGGGGTGTGCGGGAGGCAGCTGATCGATGTCTCTCCCTCATCGATGTTTCTCACTCTCTCCCCCCCTTCCTCTCTGTGAAAAATCAATTTAAAAAAAAATTTTTTTTTTTTAAAGGATGAGCTGCTTGGCACCCCGAGGGCCCGGCCGTGCCAACAGGTGCAGGGCAGAGGCCCATGCCAGGCTGAGGGGCCGCGTGTGCCCGCCGCCAAGGGCTGGGGGCCACGAGCGCCCTGCCCCCCGCGGTCCTGAGCCTGGAGCTGACCCCGACCCCCCTCCGGAGGGCCTGGGGGTACCCCCGGCAGGAAGTCTCAGCCCGGCTCCGGGGCCAGGAGCGTGCTGTCGTGGGCACATTGGGATGACGGGGACACGGCCCGCTGGGCCCAGGGCCCTAGGCCGACGGCTGGGGTGTGTTTGCGATGCTCGCCCTCGCCCAGCGCCCCCCACCGACAGCCCCTGGCTCCCCGCCCGGCCTCCTGCAGCCCCCACCCCCGCCGTGCCCCCGCCCAGCCCGTGGCCCGCCCAGCACTGGCCGCTGCTGCCCGCTGGGCCGGGGCCGGGGCGGGGCGGGGCGGGCGGCCGGTGCCAGGATCCAGGCACATTTTCCAGTCTGGCCTGCGGTCTGCGCCTCCCGGGCCCCTCTGGGCCACTGCCCGTTTCTATTCCCGGGGATCGGCTCACTTCCTCCGTGTGGGCAGCCCGTCTGCCACCGGGCGGCCGCTGGCCGGGCACCGGGGCCTGGACACGGCTCCGGCCGGCTGGGGGTCGGGGGGTGGCCTCCTGCTCACACATGTAGTCGCCACATGCCTCAGTTTCCCCGTTTGGGAAGCAGAGGAGTCAGACTGGTTACGGGACGGTAAAGGGAGGTGGCAGGTTCATTCCCTGTCGCTCAGACTCTCCTCAAACCTGTGTGCCTGCCGGCCCTGACCCCACACAATGCAGAACATTCCAGTGGGGGAATATTGCCAGTGCTGCCCCTGGTGGTGCCTGCTGGTATGGACCCTGGCTCAGTGCTGCCCCCGGTGGCACCTGCTGGTACTGGCCCCGGCTCAGTGCTGCCCCCGGTGGCACCCACTGGTACTGGCCCCGGCTCAGCACTGCCCCAAGTGGACTGGCCCTGGCTCAGTGCTGCCCTCGGTGGCCCCTGCTGGTACTGACCCTGACTCAGTGCTGCCCCCGGTGGCACCCACTGGTACTGGCCCCGGCTCAGCACTGCCCCAAGTGGACTGGCCCTGGCTCAGTGCTGCCCTCGGTGGCCCCTGCTGGTACTGACCCTGGCTCAGTGCTGCCCCCGGTGGCACCTGCTGGTACTGACCCTGACTCAGTGCTGCCCCCGGTGGCACACGCTGGTACTGACCCGGGCTCAGTGCTGCCCCTGGTGGCACCCGCTGGTACCTGCCCTCTCCTCCATGGGGACAGATGTACGGCAGGGAGCAGAGTCCTGGGTGCCAGGTGTGTGTGTGTCGGGGTGTGTGTGTGTGTGTGTGTGTGTGTGTGTGTGTCCAGGACCTGGGCCGCCTCCTGGGATGGGGCAGTCAGGGCAGCGTGCAGGAAGGGCGGTCCTGCCCCCGCTGCTGGCCGGGCCTCAGGCACTGCGACCTCGGCCCCCCCCCCCACGCCCTGCTCCGCACTGCTCCCCACGCGCTCACCGGCCCTCTCCCCCGCAGCTCCATCGTCCTCATGGCGTCCAAGGGGAGGTACGCGGCCAGAGGCCCCTGGACGCGCGTGCTGGAGAAGCTCGGGGCGGACAAGGGGCTCAGGCTGAAAGGTGAGGGGCTGGGACGGGCTCTGGGGGTCCCGATGCCCGGGGCGCAGGCGCTCCTGCCGGCCGAGACCAGCTCCCCGTCCCCCAAAACCGGCACGGCCTCTGATTCCAGTTGGGGAATGACGCCTGCCGTGGCAGTGCTGCCCCCTGTGGTGCCCGCTGGTACTGGCCTTGGTTCAGTGCTGCCCCCAGTGGCGCCCACTGGTACTGGCCCAGGCTCAGTGCTGCCCCCAGTGGAAGCTGCTGGTACTGACACCGGCTCAGTGCTGCCCCCTGGTACTGGCCCCAGCTCAGTGCTGCCCCCAGTGGAACCTGCTGGTACTGACCCCAGCTCAGTGCTGCTCCTGCTGGTACTGACCCCGGCTCAGTGCTGCCCCTGGTACTGGCCCCAGCTCAGTGCTGTCCCAGGAGGCACCCTCTGGTACTGGCCCCGGCTCAGTGCTGCCCCCTGTGGCACCCTCTGGTACTGGCCCTGGCTCTGCTGCCAAGGTCACCCCTTCCTTCCGTGCTGCAGCCTGGCACAGCCCACTGGGGGGCGGGAGGGGTTGGCCAGTAGAAACACCAGCGTGACAGTGAACAAGGGCACGCTGTGCTGAGGGTCCCCAGGGCCGAGCGGAGGTAGGAAACTGCAGACACCTGTGAGGACATCGCCGTAGTTACACGTTCAACCTAGCGCCTCACCTCACGATTTCTTAAAAATATATTTACTGGGTTTTTTTTACAGAGAGAGTTAGAAACATCGATGAGAGGGAAACACCCATCAGCTGCCTCCTGCACACCACCCCCCCCCCACTGGGATGTGCCTGCAACCAAGGTCCATGCCCCTGATCGGAATCGAACCCGGGACCCTTCAGTCCGCAGGCCGACGCTCTATCCACTGGGCCACACCGGTTTCGGCCACTCTGTGTATTTTTATTGATGTCAGAGAGGGAGAGGGAGAGAAACATCAATGATGAGAGATTCCTGGATCGGCTGCCTCCTGCAGCCAATGGTCTCCCCCCCCCACCCAACCCCCTGGCCTGTCCCAATCAGCCCCCAATGCCCGCCGGGCCGAGGGACAACCCCCACCACCGGTGTATGAATTTGCGCACGGCCTTTAGTTTCCATACAAGACGGAGACACCGGGAACGAGACGGCTACGTCTGCCGAGACCCGTGCCCTCAGACACACTGCCGTGGGCAGTCCCGGGGACACGGGGTGGGGGGCTGGGAGGGGTGCGGGGCTGTGGTCCCTGCCTGCAGCGCCTGCTGACGTGCCGCCTCGCTCCTCTGCAGAGAGAATGGTCTTCGTCGGCTTCAAGGGCAGCTTCCGGCCGGCCTGGGTGGCCCTGGACACCTCGGACCAGCAGGCCAAGGTCTTCCAGGCGGTGCCCATCCCCGTGGTGAGGAAGAAGATGCTGTGAGGGAGGGACGCCGAGACCCGGCGCCTCCGCCCGCCCGCCCGCCCGCCCGCCCCCGTCTGCCTGCAGCCCGGGCAGCGCTGGCCGGCGGACACCTGGGCGCTGCTCTCCCATCGTGCCTCTCGGGGGGCCTGGCTGGCTGGCAGCAGGGACGTGGACGAGTGCCGGGTCCCCCCCGAGCTCCCAGCACATACATTAGGGGGGGAGGTGGAGGCTGAGGGGCCCAGGTCTCAGGGGAGCCTTGATCCTGTAAGCATGGGCCTTCTCGGGTGAGGAGCAGGGACGGACCCAGCTCTGGAGGCGGACCGGCTGCCCTGGGGGCAGGGGGGCCAGCTTTTCCTGTTGCACCTGGAACCAGGAGCTGCAGCGAGCCCCACGACGCCGAGGGGGCCCTCAGGGGTGGGGCTGGCCGCCTGGCAGGCCAGGCTGTCAGGGACACGTGCCCGCAGGGAACCCAGAGCCTGACAGCGGGACCAGAGCCAGTTCCCGGGCAGGGAACGATCCTCCCTGCTCGGGTAAGCCAGGAGGACTTCCTGGAGGCGGCGGCACCGGGCCTGGAGGCCGGACAGGCAGCCTCCGTCCCCTTTGCTCACACCACCTGCCGCACCGCGTGTTCGATTCCAGTGACTGTTGGTGCTGCCCGTTCCACGGCCCCCGGACGTTCTCGGGGAACCCCCCCCGCCCCCCGCCCGGCTCGGGGGGCTGGGGCTGGGGGCCTGCAGCTCCTGCGGTCCTCTCCCTCCCACCTGGGCCCCGGAGGCGGCCGGAGCCCCGTGAGGGGAAACTGCCTGTGGTGGGAGCTGGTGCCGCTCCGGGCACGTGGCCTCGCCGTGAACGGCCGCCCGCCCTTCCCCAGCCACGCCCTCCGCCCTCCGCCTGGCCCGGCCGTGCCCGCTGCCAGAGGCGGGCCCGCCGAGCAGGACGCGGGCTGCGGGGGGCGCCGGCCGGGCCCCGTCCCCGGGAAGGGCGCCCGCGACCTCGGGTCCTCCTGCCTGTAGTTCCCCCTTCGGCTCTTCCCACTCCTCGGGAGGGCCTCACGCTGCGAACCGCGCGGGCGGGGACCAGTCACCCCGGGAAGACTCTACTGGAGGATCCTCAGCCGTCGCCGCGCCCACGCGTGTTCTCCGCCGGGAGCCGCGCCCACGCGTGTTCTCCGCCGGGAGCCGTGTCCACGCGTGTTCTCCGCCGGGAGCCGCGCCCACGCGTGTCCTCCGCCGGGAGCCCGCGCCCACGCGTGTTCTCCGCCGGGAGCCCGTGCCCACGCGTGTTCTCCGCCGGGAGCCGCGAACACGCGTGTTCTCCGCCGGGAGCCCGCGCCCACGCGTGTTCTCCGCCGGGAGCCCGTGCCCACGCGTGTTCTCCGCCGGGAGCCCGCGCCCACGCGTGTTCGCCGGGAGCCCGAGCCCACGCGTGTTCTCCGCCGGGAGCCCGCGCCCACACGTGTTCTCCCTGCTGCCGGGAAAACTGGCCCGTTCCCTCTGCGCGTGAGCATCCCCGTGAGCCAGGCTTCGGGGGAACACGCCTCCGACACGCGTGTCCTCCGCCTGTTGCCGAGACGGCTGGCCCCTGTCGGGAAGGCGCGGTGTAGTGTGCTTTGTACGTAAATGTCTCGTCAGGACAAAGACCTGTTCTCTATTTATTTATTGTCTGTGCACTCGGAGCAATCCTTGCCGGAGGAACCAAGAACTGTCGTCCGTGTTGTGGGCCTGAACGTGCCCCTGTCCCTGCGCATCAGCTGGCCTCAGCGCACGGCTCTGGGGGGGAAACCTCGCTGTACCCTAGTAAACGCTCAAGGGGCCATCCTGTCTGCTGGTTGTCTTCCTTTAAAACTGCGTCTCAGAGCCCTGGCTGGTGTGGCTCAGTGGGTAGAGCGTCGGCCTGCAGCCTGAAGGGTCCCGGGTTTATTTCCGGTCAAGGGCACGTACCCAGGTTGTGGGCCCCACGCCCAGTGTGGGGCGTGCAGGAGGCAGCCGGACCATGACGCTCTCATCACGGATGTTTCTCTCTCCCCCCCTCTCCCTTCCTCTCTGATTAAAAAATAATAAATTTAAAAAAAATAAACCGGGGCTCATAGCTGAGAAAAATAAGGCCGGCCAAATGCCCTCTGGGTCTGCTTTCACTTCCAAGAACTATACCAGCTATTTTCAACCTTTTGTTATTATTTTTTAAAATATTTTTTTGGTTGATTTCAGAGAGGGAGGGAGGAACAGCCGTGATGATAAGAGAATCACCGATCCGCTGCCTCCTGCCCGCCCCACGCTGGGATGGAGCCTGCAACCCGGGCCTGTGCCCTGACCGGGAATCGAACCCTGACCTGCTGGTTCCTAGGCTGATGGCTAAAATTCGGAGGCACACCACACTGTGTTCTGCCGCTCTGACAACAGGAAAGCTGTCCTGACTCATCCCGCCGGCTGCCCGGCTCACTCAGGGCCTGGCTCTGCCGCGGCCGGGCACCGTGACCTTGCAGGAAACGCCCACCTCCCCTGAGCCCCCGCTGGCTTGGGCGGGAGATGGGGGTAACCTAGCGCCCTCGGCCTGGGGTCGCTATGACAACGAAGTAAACGAACCCCTGCAGCCGGCCGCCAGCAGCGGAGATCAAAGAGCCGGAGGAAGAGGCAGGCAGGCCAGAGGTCGGTGGCCCCGCCAGCAGCTGGGCATTCCACTCGGGCAGGCAGAGCAGGTGGGCGCCCGCGGCGGGCTCTGCTGCCCCCTAGTGGACACCCGCTCCATTTCCAAGTGCCCTCGGACGGGAGGCCCTGGCCTGAGGCTGAAGGCCTCAGAGGGGCCTCTCGGCCCGCAGGGCGCCTCCTGCGTGGCTCTCACTCACGCCCTCCTCCCCCCGAGGACACGGCGGGCACGTCCCCCTCATTCTCAGCTGTGAGCCCCCGTTCCCGTGGTCCGTGGTCTCCATCCTGCAGGGCCCGGAGCGGGGGCGGCAGGGCCAGCGCCCCCCACCCCGAGCACACTGAGCGGGAGGGACCAGCTCCAGGGAGACCGACACTGCGGCACCCCCCCCACGCCCAGACACACGCACACACACCCCAGGCCCTGCGACGCCAACACACACACACACACCCCCCAGGCCCTGCGACGCCAACACACACACACACACCCACACACAACCCCCAGGCCCTGTGACGCCCACACACACACACACACACACCCCAGGCCCTGCAACGCCAACACACACACACCCCAGGCCCTGCAACGCTAACACACACCCCCCCCAGGCCCTGCGACGCCAACACGCGCACACACACACACACACACACACACACCCCAGGCCCTGTGACGCCCACACACACACACACACACACACACAACCCCCAGGCCCTGTGACGCCCACACACACGCACACACCCCCCAGGCCCTGCGACGCCAACACACACACACACACACACACACAACCCCCAGGCCCTGCGACGCCCACACACACACACACACACACCCCAGGCCCTGCGACGCCAACACGCACACACGCACACACACCCCAGGCCCTGCAACGCCAACACGCACACACACACACACACACACCCCCCCAGGCCCTGCGACGCCAACACGCACACACACACACACACACACCCCAGGCCCTGTGACCCCAACACACACACACACACACCCCAGGCCCTGTGACCCCAACACACACACACACACCCCCCAGGCCCTGCGACGCCAACACACACACACACACCCCCCAGGCCCTGCGACCCCAACACACACACACCCCAGGCCCTGCTACGCCAACACGCACACACACACACACACACACACCCCAGGCCCTGTGACCCCAACACACACACACACACACCCCAGGCCCTGTGACCCCAACACACACACACACACCCCCCAGGCCCTGCGACGCCAACACACACACACACACCCACACGCGCACACACACCCCCCAGGCCCTGCGACGCCAACACACACCCCCCCCAGGCCCTGCGACGCCAACACACACACCCCCCAGGCCCTGCAACCCCAACACACACACACCCCAGGCCCTGCGACCCCAACACACGCACACACACCCCCCAGGCCCTGCAACGCCAACACGCACACACACACACACACACACACACACCCCAGGCCCTGCAATGCCAACACACACACACACACACACACACACACACACCCCAGGCCCTGCAATGCCAACACGCACACACACACACACACACACACACACACCCCAGGCCCTGCGACGCCAACACACACACACACACACACCCCAGGCCCTGCAACGCCAACACGCGCACACACACACACACACACACCCCAGGCCCTGCAACGCCAACACACACACACCCCAGGCCCTGCAACGCTAACACACACCCCCCCCAGGCCCTGCGACGCCAACACGCGCACACACACACACACACACACACACACCCCAGGCCCTGCGACGCCAACGCGCACACACCACAGGCCCTGCAACGCTAACACACACCCCCCCCAGGCCCTGCGACGCCAACACGCACACACACACACACACACACACACACACCCCAGACCGTGTAGCGCGCACACACACACACTCGCACACACACACACACACACTCACACACACGAGCGCGGTGGAGGGAGGCAGGCCTGGAGCACCGCACGTTCTCACCATGAACGTGTTATTCTGAGAAAACCACAAGGAAAAGCTTTACAAACGGCGGCTCTTAGAAATGGCACCTGTGTCTGCCCGGCTCTCCCTCCGCAGAGGGCAAATCAGACACCGGCAGGGGGCCCATGGGGACCACACACACACGGAGGCACTTCAGCTGACACGTGTTCACCACGAGGGCGCCGGGCCCTGCCACGTGGCCTGGCCAACATCCCACCACTTCCTAGAGGAGGACACGGCCGGTCCCGACCCCCCGCCCACAGCAGCGGCAGACCCCTGAGATCTCAGCGAGGAGGAGGCGGCGGCGGCGGCGAGTCTGGGAGACCCGGGGTCTCGGCGGCTCCTGGAGGGGCGGGCGCACACGGCCCGGTGGCCGGGGTGGTGTCCACGTCACAGGCAGGAGGTGGCGTTTTGGGGGCGCGGAGGAAGAGCCCGGTTTGGCAAAATCAGGCCTTCCCGGGTCTGACCGGAACCTGCTGTCCTTCCGCCCTCTCTCGACATCCATGCACAAACCCAAAAGCAGACGCACGCCCGGAGCGGGCGCGCTGAGGGCGCTGATGGCGCCCAGGACGCCCCGCAAGCTGCCAGCGAGCGCGTCTGCCCAGGAACCCTCACCGTGGCCGTGGCCGTGGCCGTGGCCAACGTGAATGCTGCCTTAGCACCCGCAGCCTGGTCCACAGGGACTCCGGCCTGCCCCCCGGGCCCGGGCGGACCCCGCGGAGGCCGGAACGCCAGGCGGAGCGGGTCCCACGCCGCCCGCCCGTCACAGGTCCCCGCGCGCCCGGCCCGCCCGGTTGTCCTCCTGGGAGGCGCCGCGGGCCGTGGGGCCGCCCTCCTTCTTCTTGCCCTTGGCCGGCTTGGTCTGGTTCCGCTCCCGGCCGCCCCCGCCGCGGCCTGGGTACACCTGGCCCTCCAGCGTGACCTCGGCGCAGCGGTCCTGGCTCACCAGGAAGTCCTTGATCTCCCAGGCGTAGCTGCCGTCCCGCAGCATGAAGATGGCGCGGTCCGAGCCCACGATGAACCTGCACGGGAGAGGCCGCGGGTCAGCTCGCCGGCGAGGGCGGGGGCGAGGGCGGGTGCCCCTGACCTCACCCACCGGCCGCGCACCATCGTCAGCTCAGACGTTAGCCCGCGGGCCCGGCCGGCGCGGCTCAGTGGCTGAGCGTCCACCTGTGAACCGGTTCAGGAGGTCACCGGTTCAATTCCGGCCAGGGCACCCGCCCCGGTGACAGCCTTGATCCCCAGGACGGGTCACGCAGGAGGCAGCCGATCAACCAGTCACTCGCTCAATGATTCTCTCTCATCGCTGGTGTTTCTATTTGTCCCTCCCTCTATTTATTTATAAAAATAAATTATTTGGCCAAACATTTTTTTTTTTTTTATATATTTTTTACAGAGGAGAGGGATAGAGAGTTAGAAACATCGCTGAGAGAGAATCAGCCATCAGCTGCCTCCTGCACACCCCCCTCACTGGGAATGTGCCCGCAACCAAGGTGCATGCCCTTGACCGGAATCGAACCTGGACGCTCTATCCACTGAGCCACACCGGTTCCGGCAGGCCAAACATTTAACTAAGTCACCCCTGATGCCTCGGCCGGGCCGGACCGAGTGATTTCGCAGGCCTTCCAGGGCCCGTGGGCCGGGCATTCCCCACCCCTGGGCAGGGACTGAGCTCCTGTGACACTGAACCAGGAAAAGCAACTTTCAAATTCTACAGGAACGCAGAACAGAACCTTGTGAAGCTTCACGTCTGGGATCCTAGCAGACTGAACACGTTCACCCCTCAAATCAGAAGCAGCATCTGGCCCGGCCGGTGTGGCTCAGCGGTTGAGCATCAACCTGTGAACCAGGAGGCCCGGGTTCGATTCCCGATCGGGGCCCGTGCCCGGGGTGCGGGCTCCATCCCCAGCGGGGGGCGCACAGGAGGCAGCCGGCCCACGATTCTCTCTTATCATCGAGTCTCTCTCTCTCTCTCCCTTCCTCTCTGATTTCAATAAAAAAAATATATATATTTTTAAATAAAGAGTCCTAGCTGGTGTGGCTCAGTGGATAGAGCATGGGCCTGTGGACCCAAGGGTCCCGGGTGGGAGTCCAGTCAAGGGCCCGTGTGCACCTGGGCTGCAGGCTCCTCCCTGGCCCAGGCCCTGGGTGGGGCTCATGCAGGAGGCAGCCAGTTGATCCATCTCTCACATCGATGTTTCTCTCCGTCTCTCCCTCTCTCTAAAGATCAATGGGAGCCGAAACCGGTGTGGCTCAGTGGTAGAGCGTCGGTTTGCGGACTGAAAGGTCCCGGGTTCGATTCCGGTCAGGGGCACATTCCCGGTGGGGGTTGTGCAGGAGGCAGCTGGTCGATGTTTCTCTCTCATCGACGTTTCTGGCTCTCTATCCCTCTCCCTTCCTCTCTGTAAAAAAAAAAAATCAATAAAATATATATATTTTAAAAAAATAAGTAAATAAAAATCAATGGGAACACCCCCTTGGATAAGGTTAGCAGCACACATAGAAAGAACAAAACCAGCACAGAGCAGCCGCTGGCGGGAGCCCTCGGCGGGCGGGCGGGCGGACGACGGGCGGACAGACGGACGGGCGGGCGGACGGCGGAGGGCGCTCACCGCTGGACGTCATAGTTGGCGTTGAAGAGGCTGCCCTGCCACAGGCTGGTGATCTCCTCCGTCTCCTTCTCGGAGGGGCTGCCGGACACGGTGACGAACATCATGAGGGTCTTGCCCTTCTTGGTCAGCTTCAGGACGCTCTCCGGCTTGCCCGGGTCCAGCTTCGAGAAGTCCACCGGCACCGGGGGCCGCTTGTGCTCCGGCAGGTCGCCCTCCTCGATGTCGTCGTCCTTCTACGAGGGGGAGGGGGAGCGCCGAGGGTCAGAAACGGGTGCGCCCCCGGCAGAGGCAAGGGCGACCGCACCAGAGGACGGGGGTGGCGAGGGGTAAGGAGCGGGGGGGAGGGGAGTCTGGGACCAACGTCATAACCCACAAGAAGAAAACCCAGCAGGTGCCGAAACCGGTGTGTCTCAGTGGATAGAGCGTCAGGCTGCGGACTGAAGGGTCCCGGGTTCGATGACGGTCAAGGGCATGGACCTTAGCTGCGGGCACATCTCCAGTGGGGGGTGTGCAGGAGGCAGCCGATGGAGGTTTCTCTCTCATCGATGTTTCTAGCTCTCTATCCCTCTCTCTTCCTCTCTGTGAAAAATCAATAAAATAAAAAATTAAAAATAAAATAAAAAGGCCAAACCGCACGGCATTCACGTCTGAGCTTCGGCAGTCCTTACTTACTGCCGTCACTCCAGGTCGCCAATCACAGAGCCCCGTGGGGGGGGTCCCCACATCGTGTTCACACCCAAGGACCCTGCCCAACACGATCGACGGCGACACACGGCACAGCGAGGAAGAACACGCACTGACACACGTGACGGGCAGCTCCCACGGCCCCAGAGGGAGCGCAGGGAGAGGAGCGGGTGGGTTTAGGCATGGCTGCCCGGGGAGAAAGACACCCATGGAGACGGAAGCACTGAGGCGGGTGGGGGGTGGGACACAGATACCAGGAGAGGGCGCTCACGTTCCTCATGTCTGCAAACGTGAGCCCAGTGGCCGTGACCTGGCTCTACGGCTAAGGACAGGGAGGATCAGTCACCAAGGCGAGAAGATGAGGCCAAAACCCGTCCTTTCGCCACATGACGCTGCCCCCTTGTGACCACAGAAGTCAACCGACTGCCACGTCCTCCAAAGAGCACAGCTCCATCTGGCCTGCATGGCTCCGCGGCTGAACGTGGAGCTAGGAACAGGTCATGATTCGGTTGTGGGCTCAACCCCCAGCTGGGGGCTTGCAGGAGGCAGTCCATCCCTGATTCTCCCTCGTCATTGATGTTTCTCTCTCCCTCTAAAAATCAATAAAAATACACACACACACACACACACACACACACACATAATAATCTGGCCACTCAGAGAGTGTGTGTGTGTATGTTTAGAGGCCCGGTGCATGAATTCGTGCATGGGTGGGGTCCGGCCAGCCTGGCCAGGGGAGGGGACATGGTTGATTGGCCGGCCTGCCTGCTGGCTGAACTCCTGGTCAAGGGGACCATTTGCATTATAGCCTTTTATTCTATAGAACACATGTGTCAAACACAAGGCCCGCGGGCCAAATCCGTCCCGCCAGGCCTTGCAATGTGGCCCGCACCGCGCTGTCATCACTGCACTCCGCTGCGTTTCCATCACAATGACAGTTTATGACTGTTCAGTAAACCATTCGGCCCGCGATTTAGGCTGGATTTTAGATTTTGGCCCCTTCTCTGATTGAGTTCGACACCCCTAGTCTACAGGAATCACACACACACCCAGCCTGGAGGGAGTGCACAAGTCAGTGACCATGGCTACAGTCCAGGTGAGCAATAAAGCAGGCAGCAACATCCCTCAGTGTCGACGTATATATTTTTAAAAAGTATTTCGGAAGACGTAAACAGACAACACACCAACTACAGGTGTAAAAGCTACTGCTGCACCAGAAGGGGGCATCGAAGAGGAAAACATGTTTTGGGATGAGGTTATGAGATTAAACGCAAACAGCCCGGTTCTGCAATGTCAGGCTGCACAGCGGGGACCGCGTGTCCTTCTGCCATCCGACCCCCAGGGCATCAGGGCCCCGCAGCACTGGTTCCCACCATCCTGACTTCTCACCGCGTCCTTCCGTCTATCCCAGCCAAGCAAACGAATGTACGTAAAAGGACTGATTTTCATGCTGCCATAGCTAATCGTGCGTTGATGTATTTTTTTTTTTAAATTATTTTTTTAGCCCTGACTGGTGTGGCTCAGTGGATAGAGACGGACGACTGAAGGATCCCGGGTTCCATTCCGGTCGAGGGCATGGATCTTGGTTGTGGGCACATCCCCGGTCCCGGATGTGCAAGAAGAGGCAGCTGATCGATGTTTCTCTCTCATCGATGTTTCTAACTCTCTGTCCCTCTCCCTTCCTTTCTGTAAAAAATCAATAAAAACATATTAAAACATATATATATATATATATATCTAAATAAAAATTGGTATCAGAGAGAAACATCAACGATGAGAATCACTGATGCACTGCCTCCTGCACGCCCTGACCGGGAATCGACCTGTGACACCCGACCACTGAGCCACACCAGCCGGGGCCGAGCTGCTCGATTCTTCCATGCTCTCGGTTGACTCTCAGAACGACCTGTGCATGCCATCAACACCTCTATCCCGAGGAAGAGACTCAGGGACAGAGGCAATTCCGATCCACACACACGGGCGAAGGGGCTGGGCCCGGGGGGTCTGATGGCGGAGCCTCGGCTGTGAGCGTCTGCTCCGTCCCGCCAGGAAGGCCCGCCCCCCACCCCTCTGACACCACTTCCTCCCCGATGCCCTCCGGGAGTCCCACAGCACTATCCTTCCTTTTTTTTAAAATATATTTTTATTGGTTTCAGAGAGGGAGAGAAACATCAATGATGAGAATCACGGGTCGGCCGCCTCCTGCACGCCCCCCACTGGGGATGGAGCCCGCAACCCGGGCCCGGGCCCTGACCGGGAATCGAACCCTGACCTCCTGCTTCCTAGGCTGAAGCTCAGCTGAGCCATGCCAGCTGCGCTGCACCTCCTTTTTGTAGCGCTCAGCAATTCCTACTTTGCATTGTGGGTATTTTTATTGTGGGTACCTGCTGCCACCGACGTTCGGACCCCTTGTTCATCACCCTTCTGTCTAGCTGAGTATTTCCAGGGTGCGATTTCCCAACGAGATGTCCTAACTGGTGTGGCTCAGTGGGTAGAGCACCAGCCTGCGGAATGAAGGGTCCCAGGTTCGATTCCCAGTCAGGGCACAGGCCCAGGTTGCGGGCGATCCCCAGTGTGGGGCGTGCAGGAGGCAGCCGATCCTCTCTCATCATGGATGTTTCTATCTCTCTCTCTCCCTCTCCCTTCCTCTCTGAAACCAATAAAAATATATTTTAAAAACAAACAAACAAATAAAACACTTCACTTGCAGGAGCGCAGAGGGAGGCCGGCAAGGGCGAATGGCGAACAGGGAAGGGAGTGAGAGAAACATTCACTTGTCTCTTCATTCGTGGTCTCCCCACACCCACTCCACCCCAATCTCCCCCCAGCTGCAGATCAACACGAAAACTCTATCTGTGTGTCCAGGGCATCCGATGGCATTTTAAACTCATGACCCAAAGCCTCGATCAAACACACACACACACACACACACAGATAGACCACCACATCACGGCCCTGGCTGGTGTGGCTCAATGGGTAGAGCGTCAGTCCGGGGATTGAGGGGTCCCAGGTTCGAATCCAGCCAGGGCACATGCCTAGTTGGGGGCCTGATCCCCAGTAGGGGGCGTGCAGGAGGCGGCCGATCCATGATTCTCTCTTATCACGGATGTTTCTCTCTCTCTCCCTTCCTCTCTGAAATCAATCAAATATATTTAATACAAACAAACAAAAAACCCACAGCATCGTGAAACATTAAGTGTTGGCAGGAGCCCTCCAGTAGGATCTCAGGACAATCCGAGCGCCTTGAGAAGAGAAAGAGGCGGCGTGGTATTCTTGCCCGGAGAATGCCATCTAAAAAGCGCATTACACTTGGTCTTGGCCAGAAGGCCATTACGCTAAGCCAAATAAGCCAGCTGGAGAAGGAGAAATATCACGATCTCACTCATTTGTGGAATATCATGAACAACAGAGACGGATGAACAAAAACAGATCCAGAGACAGAAGCAGGGCCCAGACTGTCAAACCTCAGAGGGAAGAAACAGGGTAAGCGGGGAGAGATCAACCCAGGGATTTGTATGCATGCTTATTAGCATAGCCTATGGACGCAGACACCAGCGGGGTGAGGGAGAGGGCTATGGGGGGATAAGGACAGACATGCAATACCTTAATCAATTAAAATAAATTAATCTTTAAAAAAAAAAAAAAAAAAAGCTTATTACAGCCCTAGCTGGTGTGGCTCAGTGGATAGAGCGTCGGCCTGTGGACTGGAAGGTCTCAGGTTCGATTCCGGTCAAGGGCACATGCTCGGCTTTCGGGCTCCATCCCCAGTAGGGGCCGTGCAGAAGGCAGCCAATAAGTGATTCTCTCATCATTGACGTTTCTCTCTCTCTCTCTCTCTCTCACTGGCCCTTCCTCTCTGAAATCAATAAAGTAAAATATTTAATAAATAAATTGAAAAATTTGCCGAAACCGGTTTGACTCGGTGGATAGAGCGTCGGCCTGCGGACTGAAGGGTCCCCGGGTTCGATTCCGGTCAAGGGCATGGACCTTGGTTGCGGGCACATCCCCAGTAGGGAGTGTGCAGGAGGCAGCTGATCAATGTTTCTAGCTTTCTATCCCTCTCTCTTCCTCTCTGTAAAAACTCAATATTTTTTAAAAAAGAAAAAATTACAAAAAGAAAAACAAAAACTTATTACAAACTCCCTGTAATTATTACACACTCCGGTGCACTCAGAAAGTTCACTCGCACGAAACAGAAGTCACTGCTCCTTTAAATTAAAAAAAAAAAATTAAATAAAAAAAAAAAAGTTAAGTCACTGCTCCTTTAAATGAAAAAAATTAAAATTTAAAAAAAAAGTGGCTCCCATGAGAGCGAGCAACTGGCCTTGGATTACCGCCCCGTTACCCCCTAAAACACATGTGTCAAACACAAGGCCCGCGGGCCAAATCCGTCCCGCCAGGCCTTGCAATGTGGCCCGCACCGCGCTGTCATCACTGTCATCACTGCACTCCGCTGCGTTTCCATCACAATGACAGTTTATGACTGTTCAGTAAACCATTCGGCCCGCGATTTAGGCTGGATTTTAGATTTTGGCCCCTTCTCTGATTGAGTTCGACACCCCTACCCTAAAATGACAAAACTCTCAGCAGGGAAATGCGTCCACGTGGGAAGCCCGCAATCCTCCCCACCTGGCAGATGGCAGAACCCTGCAACCTGAGCAAAGTAACCCTGGCTCAGAGGCTGAGCTTCGACCTATGACCCAGGAGGTCACGGTCCGCTTCCGGGTCACGGCTCAGGCCGGGGCTCGATTCCTTCCGTCTGTGTGCGGCCGTGCAGGAGGCAGCCGATCTGTGTTCCTCTCTCCCCCTTCCTCTCTGAAATGAATAAAAGTACATTAAAAACAACAACAAAGTAATCTTACCCATCATCCTCCCGCCTCCTCCCCCCCCAAACCCCGCCATAGTTCGGGAATATTGTGCAAAACGTCTCCCTGCCATCTGCAGGGCCTCACGGACCCCGGGGAGCCACGCAGGAGGGAGAGGGGATGGGCGGCCGGGGCAATGGAGGTCAGGGACGGCTCCACGCGGGGGAATGACCCGAGAGCGGAGGCCCCCAAAGGCTGGCGGAGGGCAGCGGGATGGCGGAGCGGGTCCGGGGCGCCGGGGTCGGGGAGGCCCGGGGGCTCAGCGAGGACTCGGGGCGCGAGCAGAGAGGAGGTTAGAGGGTCTGGAGGGGGTGAGAGGTCGGGGAGGGGGTGCGGGGCCAGGGAAGGAGCAGGGCCCGGGAGGGGGCTGAGGGGGTGGGAACGGGGGCGCGCGCCGCGGACCTCCCACTGTTCCAGAAGGCGCGCCATGTCCGCATCATTGTAATCGCGAATGTCCTTCTTCTTCTTCTTCGGGGGCGGCGGGGCCGCCTCGCCAGGCTTCCCGGCCGGGTCCTCGGCCGCGCGGGCCCCGGGCGGCAGCACCAGCAGCAGCAGGTCGCAGGTACAGAGCAGGAGGACGGCCGCGCACAGCCAACTGGAGGCCGCCATTGTCGCCGCGCCGCCGCCCCGCCCCGCCCCGAACTCTCCTTTCCGGAACCTGGACCTGCGCCTGCTTTCCGGCCCCGCCCCCCGAGTCAAGCTGACCTATCCGGCCCGCCCCTCCGTGGCCCCGCCCTTCAGAGGCGCGCTGACCTATCAGACCCGCCCCTCCGTAGCCCCGGCCCCCAGAGGCTCCCTAACCTATCAGCCCCGCCCCTCTGTGGCTCCGCCCCCCAGAGGGGCGCTGACCTATCAGGTCCGCCCCTCAGCTATCTTTTCCCGCCCCACGACCCCTCCGGTGGTCCGGCTGCGAGGCCGGGCGAAGGGACGGACCCACCCAGCGTTTGCTTTCCGGCCACGCCCCTCCGTGGCCCCGGCCCCCCGAGTCGCGCTGACCTATCAGACCCCGCCCCGTCCGACCCTGAGACCCGCCCCTCCGCCATCTTTTCCCGCCCCGAGACCCCTCCCCTAGCCTGGCCAAGGGCCAGGCCCAGGCTGCGCTTCCGCTGCTTTTCGGCCAGAGGCCGCCCTTTCTTCCTCCAGCGCCCGGCCCGGGCCACGAGCGCCCTCGTGGGGGCCCCCCCGGGAGCCCTCGCAGCGCCTCGCGAGGCCGCAGGGCCCGCCCGCGAGGTGAGTTGGCGCCGCCTCGGCCTCCAGAAAGGCCACCGGCGCGCGGGCCCGGGCGGGTCCCCTCGGCCTCGTGGAGTTTTTGAGCCTGGGATCTGCTTCCTCAGAGGGGCCTGCCGAGGGGATTCAGCCCCACCCGCTCTCGGATATTCCTGTCGCCTTTCAGGCTCCAAAAAGCCTTAAAGGAACCCCGGCCGGTGTGGTTCAGTGGGTAGGGCGTCCCGGGTTGTTCGATTCCTGCCAAGGGCACAGGCCCGGGTTGTGGGTTCGATTCGCAGTGGGGGGCGTGCAGGAGGTACCGATCCACGATTCTCTCGCATCATGGATGTTTCTCCCCCTCTCCCTTCCTCTCTGTAAGAAAAAATCGATGAAATATATTATAAAAAATTAAATCTACAATGGTTTGTTTTTTTAAAAAAAGTGCTTTAGACGAGAGAGAGGCTTTGCTGTCGTGGCTGGGTTTTCCTTGCACAGAAAAGCAGTTGGAAATCAAGCATCGAGGCCTGGTATTGGCTCAAGGTCCAGCATGGCCACCGGAGCTCCAAGCCGTGGACCTGACAGTCACCCAGAGGCAGGGAGGCCAGAAGGAACATACTTTTCCGCCGAGTCAGCAGCCCCTGGCCAAGTGGCCTGCTCCCACATCCCACACACCACTTGCCTTTACCTCTCCTCGGCCGGAGCCTAGCCCTCCGAGGTGGATGCATCCGCACGCCACATAAAATTACAGGGATTCTCCCGCAGCCAGTGTGGCTCAGTGGATAGAGCGGCGGCCGGCGGACCGAAAGGTCCCAGGTTCAATTCTGGTCAAGAGCATGGACCTTGGTTGCGGGCACATCCCCAGTAGAGGGTGTGCAAGAGGCAGCTGATGGATGATTCTCTCTCATCCGTCGATGTTTCTAACTCTATCCCTCTCTCTTCCTCTCTGCGAAAGGTCAATAAAATATAGATTTAATAAAAAAATAAAAAAAAAATTACTGGGATTCTGTTACCAAGGGAAGGGAGGAAGTGGATGGTGACCGGGCAACCAGCTGGCAATGTCGGCCTCACCTTTGCTCTAAGGCACATGTGTCAAACACAAGGCCCGCGGGCCAAATCCGTCCCGCCAGGCCTTGCAATGTGGCCCGCACCGCGCTGTCATCACTGCACTCCGCTGCGTTTCCATCACAGTGACAGTTTATGACTGTTCAGTAGACCATTCGGCCCGCGATTTAGGCTGGATTTTAGATTTTGGCCCCTTCTCTGATTGAGTTCGACACCCCTACTCTAAGGGACCATCACAGCTTCATTTCTCTCTCCAGAGGGGTACGTATAGTGCACGTATTCGTGCATCCACCTATAGGTGCACACGCTGTGATATTTTCTTCCTTTAAAGTACATTTCTAATAGAGGCCCGATGCGCGAAGATTCCTGTAAGAATGGGCCTTTTTTCCCCCGGCTGCCGGCCCTGCCTTCCCTCCCGCCAGAGCCGCCTTTCTGCCTTCCCATGCTGCCCAGAGGCCTGGAGCGTATGCAAATCAACCTGCCATCTTTGTTGGGTTGATTTGCATACTTGCTCCTGATTGGCTGGTGGGTGTCGTGAAGGTACAGTCCATTTGCATCTTACTATATATATATATATATATATATATATATATATATATATATATTTTATTATTATTTTTTTTTTTTATAGAGAGCCAGAGACATTGATGAGAGAGAATCATCGACCAGCTGCCTCCTGCACACCCTCTGCTGGGGATGTGCCCGCAACCAAGGTCCATGCCCTTGACCGGAATCGAACCTGGGACTTTTCAGTCCGCAGACAGACAGATGCTCTATCCACTGAGCCACACCGGTTTCGGCTGCATCTTACTCTTTTATTAGTGTAGATTGGTCTCAGAGAGGAAGGGGGGGAGAGAGAGAGAGACAGGAACATCCACGATGAGAGAGAATCACGTACGGCTGCCTCCTGCACACCCTCTCCTGAGGTTGTGCCCGCAACCCAGGCATGTGGCCTTGACCGGAATCGAACCCGGGACCCTTCAGTCTGCGGGCCAGCTGATGCTCTATCCACTGAACCACACCAGCTACGGGTAGGGCCACAGTTTCTATTGACCTTGAGCAGAACCGCTCATAGGAAAAAGAATTTTTTTTTTTCCTTTTTCTTTCCTTTGTTTTTTTAAATCCTAGGGGAAATGTCACAAGCTTTCTCCCCAGGGCGCATTGCTCCACCCGGTGGCTCGGAGCCCTGTCCCAGTGCCGTCATGCTCGCAAACACGCACAGCTGTGGCCCCGGGTCACGTGTTCCGCAGGGAGGGGTCGCCCCGCCCATCCATTCTGCCAGCTGCCAAAGGCAGGGGCAGACGTGGGGGGAGATCAAGGTGGGCAGGGAAAAAGTCATCTCGTGGGATCTACAAGTTGTTGATCGGCTGCCTCCTGCACGCCCCCTGCTGGGGATGGTGCCCACAACGCAGGCATGTGCCCTTGGCTGGAATCGAACCCGGGCCCTTCATAAAATCCCAGGGCGACGGACTTTTATCTCCCGAGGTGGTCCCTCTTAGAACCCCCCGACAGGAAAACATCTGGATTAATTGAACTTTTACCGTTTTGACAGTTGGAACTCGATTCAGTTCAACTCTCTGAGAATCTTTTTTATTTTTTTAAAATATATTTGATTGATTTCTTACAGAGAGGAAGAGAGAGAGATAGTGAGTTAGAAACATCAATGAGAGAGAATCATCAATCAGCTGCCTTTTGCACGCCCCCTACTGGGGATGTGCCCACAACCAAGGTACATGCCCCTGACTGGAATCGAATCAGGGACCTTTTAGTCCGCAGGCCGACGCTCTATCCACTGAGCCAAACCGGTTTCGGCTCTATTTATACATATATATATATATATATATATATATATATATATATATATATATATATATATATAAAAAGCCAACAGCCTATATCTGGATGTGTTGAGTTAGTATAGTGCTGGGGTGTTGATCTGTGAGTGCCTTGGGTGGGGCCTGGATGAGGCTGGTTGTCCTCTTTGGAAATGTCTTTTGTGTGAAGTGTATCATTGGGCATGTGGAGGTATTATTGATATGAGAAAATGCTAAGTAACAGATTTGCTATCTGAAAAGGAATTTACTATCGGGGAAAGGGAGGGAGGAAGAGACTGAACATAAACTGTGCACCAATGGATGAGGATGAGGGGGCAGAGGGTGTGGGGTGGGAACCTGGTGGAGGGGGAAGAAACGAGGAACTGTGTAATAATATGAACAATAAAGATTTATTTAAAAAAAAAAAAAAAAGCCAGCAGCCATAATAACTGGTCACCCAGATGAAGGGTCCCGGGTTCGATTCCCATCAAGGGCATGTACCTTGGTTGCGGGCACATCCCCAGTAGAGGGTGTGCAGGAGGCGGCTGGTCGATGATTCTCATCGATGTTTCTAACTCTATCCCTCTCTCTTCCTCTCTGTAAAAAATCAATAAAATATATATTGAAAATAAAATGAAAAAAAAGTATGCCACCTCAACAACCCTCAGATCTCGGCGGCTTACCACTGAATGTGCCTTTCGCTCATGCTTCACGTCCAAGGCAAGCCAAAAGGTCTGCTCCCCGTCACGTAAGCCTATGGACGCTCCACACTGTTGAAGCTGTAGCATCCAGAAGCCGGGGTCGGGGAGGAACAGCAGGGGCCGGACTGAGAATCCCAGCCCGCCCATCAACCACCTCATTCCACCTGACTTCTTGGGTCAGAATGGGTCACCTGACCCATCCGCGTAGCCAGCGGACTGTATGGTCGGCAACCGCATTCGTCCCCAGAGCCGAACATCAACAGCACAACGATTGACATTTCTTTGGAGAGCCAAAATTTTTAAAAAATATATATATATTTTTTTAAATTGATTTTTTACAGAGAGAAAGGGAGAAGGATAGAGAGTTGGAAACATAGATCAGCTGCCTCCTGCACAACACCCCACGGGGGATGTGCCCGCAACCAAGGTCCATGCCCTTGACCGGAATCGAACCCGGGACCTTTCAGTCCGCAGGCCGACGCTCTATCCACAGAGCCGAACCAGTTAGGGCCAATCCTATCAAATTCTTAAAAAAATATCTTTTGATTGACGTCAGAGAGGAAGGGAGAGGGAGTGTGAGTGAGAAACATCCATGATGAGAGAGAATCCCGGATCGGCTGCCTCCTGCACACCCTGGAATCCAACTGTGACCTGGTCCGTGGGTTCAATTACTGAGCTACACCAGCCGGGGCTTAACATTTGAATGTTGAGCCCTAACCGGTTTGGCTCGGTGCATCGAGCGTCAGTCAGCCTGAGGACTGAAGGGCCCGGGTTCGATTCCAGCCAAGGGCACATGCCTGCGTTGTGGGCACCAGCCCCAGCGGGGGGCGTGCAGGAGGCAGCCGATCAGTGTTTCTCCAGATGGATGT